TCTTCAAATTATACTCCCTCTTAAAGCCTCAATTCCCCCGGTTTTCTTTGGTTTTGTTTTAAGTAGGTTTCCTGGAAGAAAACTTTTGCTGCGATTCTGAAATCAGTGACGAAGAGACAGCTGATTCGAAAGTAGGTTTACTCGGAAACAAATCCACTAAATTCGAAAGGATTTACTCCTAGTAACTCTATATACTGTTAAGGGAGGATGTTTTCCTGGAAATAATTTCACGAACAAACAGATCTGCAGAAATTGCGATCTAAATTAATCAATTGCCTGTCTTTAAATTTACATACACGTTGCTCGAATTACGCAGTTTTATGATGGCTACGGCTCCAACAAAGACACCGGCTGCCTCGGTTCCGACAACGAGAAATCCCAGGAATAGCAGCCATTTTGGTTTTGCGGGTTCTGCAACCTTCCTTTTGCTCAGAAGAGTATTTTGATTTCCTGCACGTGTTGCCGACCGGGGCTGCGGTCCAACCCCCTGAGATCCAGATAAGTTCCAATGAAATGAAGGAAGCGGCTTTCAGGCGTTTAAGTTTGGAATTCCAGCGTGTTTCATGCTGCAGTTGGCTGAGCGCTTCCCTGGAAGGCCGCCTCACTAAATCGCGGGGAGTTACTCCGGAGTGAGCCTGCCGAGATCCCTCTCTCCCCATCGCTCAGACCAAACGCCTGCATTTCTCCACCTCCTTGAGTGGTCCTTCCCCTCATCCGTTTCTCTCAGGGGCACCGAATCTTAGTTCGATTTCCCACACGTTTCAATTTGTTTTTCACCTTTTCAAAAAGACCTTAAAATGTTTCAGGGGGAAACCGCCTGACATCAAGAGAGCGGGGACAAACGCTCACTTTGAAGGATGCCTGGGCAGGACTTCAAATGAAACCGTATGCCTGAGAAGAATTTGATACTGGACTAGGGAAAATAACTAGGTCGGCGTTTGCCAAACCATGGAATGTGCAAGAAAGCTCCATGGGCTCGCCAAGTTCCAACCCGGGTTGCTCCGGCGGCTGTTCACCCTCCACCTCCTGGGTTAGGCGAGGAACCCAACCCGCCCGGGCAGGGAGGCCTCGCGCCGCTTTGAAGCCGATTGGCAAAGCAACGTCCCAGGGCCCCTTGCGAGATGAGCAGAAAAATATAACTTCCCAGAATGCCTTGGGTCGCCTTCAAGGGTTCTGGTGGGTCTGGGCAGGCACCTCTTGCTTCTCGTCCCGGCACCCGGATCCCGAAGGAGGGAAGCCGAGAGCCAGCAGTCCTTGGCTGTTTCGAAAGACGGCGCCGATGCCGTTGTCAGCCAGGTTTCCGAGCAAGACCCCGAGAGCGGGCTGTGGTCCTCGAAGGCTCCTTTGAAGGCCTTCCCCATCTTCAAAGGAGCAGGAGGAACTGCTGTGCCGTCTCGCTGCTTGTGTGGCTGTTCTCTTCCACGCGGGGCTCTTCAGGCGCCTTGGACTACAAAGGCCATCCCCGCCTGGCACAGCCCGCCCTTGAATGATGAAGTTGTGAGCCCATGCATCTGGGAATGCTAGGTGGGGGAAGGTTGCCTCTCCTTCTGGTCTGCCCGGTCCATCTTTAAAGTTCTCTGCTCTCTCTTGGATCTTTCCAATCGCTCCTAAAGACCTCGCCTGGATTTCTAAAGCTCTTGATGGCAAGGGAAGAGAGCGAGTGGCCTCAAAATCTATGCCCCCGGTTATCCCAGTAGGCTTTAGCTGTGGTTCACAAGATCAGATTGGGAAGAGGGGAAAAGATGCCGATCCAGTTCTACACAGGTCTCCTTCAAAGTCAGCCCCTCTGAGTTCATGGAGACACAGGTAACCAGGAAGAGATTGTGAGAACCCTTTTGAGGCGGTTGTATTCGCTGGCCTGAAAAGGACTGGGGCTGATGGTGGGTTAGCCCCATCGCAAACATCCAATCCTGCTTAGACGTCGCTCCTTCGTCGAGATGGACCCTAGTGACCTCAGACACGGACAAACTGTGTAGTCTTCTTGCCAAGAATAGGAAGTGGTTTCTTTTTGCCTTCTTCCGGGATGTTTTTTTCCACTTCCCAGCCCTGGAATTCCTTGGAGGTGTCCCCTTCAAATAGTAACCAAACCCTGCTACTGATTGCAGGCGCTTCCCGCCATCAGTTGTTTCTCTTTCATTCAGCTGCAAATCAAAACAAGCTGCATTGGAAATTAGCGGCTGTTCCTTCCCACTAAGCCGTTTGTTTAGCTCAGACTGCAAGGCAGACATTCTATTTAGCAATACATATGCATATATACATTACAGTGCAACCCTAAGCATGTTTTACTCTCAAGATCAGGCCTGCTGTGTTCAGTGGGGCTTGTTCCATAATAGATGCGTTTAGTATGGCAGCCCTAAATAGCAAGCCTAAATGTATTTAGTTGGGAAGAAATTCTGCTGAAAATCAAAGAGACACGCAACGGTAAATGAGGTTGTTTGTTTAGAAGTATGCCGGCTGGGTTCAACACGACTTGATTCTAAAAAGAGGTGCAATACAAGGATCAACTCTTTCCCTTCTTGCTCTGAAATAAACCTCTTTAGTTGAATAGGAGTACTCTTTGCAAACTGTTACAGTCTAAGGAATTAGACTGAAACTGATTTGTCTGTACTTCAAATGAATTAGAAGTACAAAGCGTTAACCGAATAAGAGGAACAAGACATATTAAGGCAATTATTTTTCAGCCTAGAAATCAGCCTTAATGGGAACTGTTATGATTTTTCTCCCAACTCTACCCCAAATGCAATCAAAGCTGATAGTCCACTACAGCTTAGATGAATATTACGATTATTATGATCATTACAATAGCAGGAGCAATTCAAGAGAGAACAAGAAACAGGCAAATATAATTTGATGTCCTACCTTTCGACATTGCCCAGAAAGGGATCTTGTTTGGGTCTCTAGGTTCACATTTGAAGGTTTCCCTCAAGTATCTCCAATGTTAAACCATTCGATCTTATGAAACCAAAGCACCATCTTCACTTTTTCTTGGTGATGCGCACTGCCGAAATACGTTTCTTCTTTCTAAGCTGGCGAAAAGTTTGGCTGCAATTTCCAAAGTCCTGCCTGATCCGCTTTAATACACCCAGATTCTGCCGCTTCAAATGTGTACGTATGCATGTTTTTTTTTTTGCATGCGCGGGTATAGACACATATGCATACACACACACAGATCCAATATACCTGCTGTCGAGAGCTAGATAAGAAGCTTAAGCCAGCCCGGAGTTGTTAATAGGTAGATAAGGAAAGACAAACAAGGCCGACAAGAATGCCAGCGCAATCTAGGCTAAGTAAACATCACTTGGTTTGGAGGAAACCCGCCACTTGTATTTCTCCTAGACTTCGCTGGAAGTTTAGAAAGGAGCGAATAGCAGTTGCAGGCTGGGGAGCCACCAAAACTTGAAGCGACCTGAACAGAATTCCTTCGTGAACCGACACCGAAGGAAGATGTGAAGGCCTATTTTTGATGCTGGTAGAAGCTTCCTTCTAGAGCTGACAGCCTGGAGATCTGAGATAGATCGACACTGATGTTTCAGCTGGATCTCCAGCCCACGTGAACCGAAGCAAAAAGACAAGCTGATGGACAGCAGCAGGATCATTTAAGGTTTACTCAAAACAACCCGCTGGTACCTCAAGGAAGGGTGCCGAGGGACTGCAGCCTGTGGCTTGGACTAACTGCGTGGAGTCCCAGGCTCTGGTTGCCACTGGTCCTTACTTGCATAAAAGCTCCACTGGGGTTCTGCCCTTGACTTCAGCCCAAAAAAGGGAACGTACCTTTGTGTCTTTAGACTTTGGCTTATGGAACGTGTGGATCGATGGGGTTACTCAGAAATCTGCAAAGGGATATAAGGGAAGCCAATCTGGCACTTGCTGTTGAAGGAGTTGCATAAACATGCATCCTTTTTCTACTGAAATACGAGAAGACGGGCCTTTCCTACGTCAGGAAAGCAGCAACGGGGATATTTATCCTTAGAAAGGGATGTATTGCTTTGAAATCGTACTGGGAATATTCCTTGGCAATTCAGTGGAAATGAATGGGATTGGTTTCCAAGTTATTTTGAGCTTACCGGATCTATTTAGTCTGAACCAGCCTCCTCTGCCCTGACGCTTTCCAGATGTAGTTGGACTCTGACTCCCATCACTTCTGAACCACCATTTGGACTGGCTGGGCATGATGGGAGCTGTACCCCACACATTCTGAGAGTGCCAGTTTGAAGGCTGGGTGAGTTAAACGTCCTAAAGCTACAAAAGAGAGAATCATTTCCCCAGCCACTGCGCCCATCCTAGTTAAGTCCAGTATAAAATCAACGGGGCTCTCAAGTGTCCTTTAGAGTAAATCTAATCCTCGCCTTGCCATTGTTTGCAAAACAAAAAAACAAACAAATGAAAAAACCAAAAATAGGTATGCACCTGAGGTGTGATTGTGGATGCTCCATTTATTTAGCACCGCAAAAAAACCCCTGTAATGCTGATTTCAAACCCAAGATAGCAACAGCCTCTACATTAGTGAAGCTACTAAAGACAGAGGGGACATTCTGTATTATAAATACAGAAGGAACAGAATCCCACATCATTTCACTGCTTTTGAACGTATCAAGCACTTGGCTGTTTTGATTGAAAGAGGGTTAAAATCTGAAGTCCAGCAAACCCACAAATAGAATCATAAAGCTGTCTCAACAATTAACACTCCTGTGTCTGTCAGTAGCTGGTTTATTTGCGTTTTTCTCCCATTTGTTTATATTCCCCCCTCTGTCCGACCCTCACCCCCTACGCTTCTGGGTAACTCCAGATCTATCCGCTCCAGTATTATTTACCTTGAGTTTCAAGTCTATTTTCCTCGGTACACATCAAACTGTTAACGTTCTTTAACATTTCAATTTATTTATTGCAGTAAAAATATACAATGATATTTACAAAACAATCATAAAAATAGGAATGCATTTAGACACCGGATCTATTTGCATTTTAACATGGGTCATCAATAAATAAATAGAATGTTTCATTTTCGCCCCCCCACCTCCCTTTTTTATTTTTTTTTCCAGGAAGAATTCCAAAACAAAGCAAAATTAAAAAGGAACCTGAAAGGTTTTGCGTATGAGAGTTTGAGCCAGTAAGGTTTTGCTGCTGAAACATTTTTGGGGCGGTGGGTGGGACGGTTTTCCTTTCTTGCTCCTTTAAAAATGGGGTTTCGTTGTCATTAGATCTGTTCAAAAAAGAAGGGTGGGGGACTCCAGTAACGTATTTCCTTTCATGAGTGGCTCATAAGCTCTCTTGGGAATGCATGCATGCAAAAAGAGGGGAAAGGAAGTAGGGAAAAAAGTTCCAACATTCTTCGTCAAAATGGGGAGGGGGGGAGCAGGTTCAGATTTCGATCAGAATGCAGAGATGTTTGGTAGACCATCCAGCCTTCACTCTGGATCAGCCACCTCACCGTCAGAGGGGCTCTAGGTCTCTTGCCTCAATTGCTCTCCCCACGCCCTGCTCTTTGCAACCTGGGCCAAGAACGCGTCTACATTTCCAAGAAAATCCTTGGCGTGCTATTGTCTGAGAAGGGGGAGAAATAACCCCGGGAGGTGGAGTGAGGGCGAATCCAAGTGCAGAGTCTCTAGATTGTCCATTTTCTCTCCTTCCCTTTGAGAACAATGTCATCTGGGAGGAAAAAAGAGAGAGAGAGAGAGAGAGAGAAGGGGAGGGGGAGAAGGGAGGAAACTGTTACTGGAAAAGAAACATTCACTCTCTTAGAAAGAGACGACGAAAAGAAAAAGCTTCTTTTCGTGACCCTCCAGAACTTTGACTCTGCTCGATTCAAGCAGAGGATTGCAAGGCTGCGTGCGGGTGTGAGTGCGCGCGCGCGTGTGTGTAGGGGGGAATTAAAGCACAAAGGAAGGCGGGGGAAAGGAACATTGGCAAGGCATGAAATCAGGAAACGCGCCGAAGGAAGCGTCACGGAGATCTATCTCAGCGAATCTAGTAAATGGGGGATACATTATCCTCCTGGAGCTTAACTAAACCTTCCCTTAAATACATCCCCGCTGCCTTTTGGGGTAACTTGCTTCCAAGGAAGTTTGCTTCAGGAGTCCAGGATCCTTGAGCTCCCCAGTCGCCTCGTGGGAAGCCTGCCACGCTTACAATCTAGCCTATGGTGGGAACGAGGTGGGGGTAGGGGGAGTGAAAATGATCCGAGCCAATGTGAGCTGGCCCGTTAGCACCCTGGATTGAGCACTGGGCCCAAGAAAGCTGAGGAAGAACATGTCAGGCGCAGAATTGTTCAGATACACATGTCCATCACATGCAACCACGAATCTTTGAAACGGGGTTCTTGGTCTGTGTTCCGTCTGCGCAAGCTCATGGGCCCCGGTCCCTGCACAACTTGACCGAGAGCAGGCCAGCATTCAGCCAGCTTTTCCCATCGATGGAAGTTCTGCTGAAGTAGCCCCTTCCTATTGCCCTCCATCCCTTCCCTGGGAAGGCTAGCCTCCTCCACTCCTGCCTCTCCTCTCTCCCAGCCAAGTTCTCCTCTCACTCCAATTCAGCCCAGACTGCCATTGGTGAAGGCTGGGGGGGGAGGGGGAGCCAACGAGGACCAAAAGAGGGATCAGCCGCTGGTGCCTCCTTCCCCCAATCTGGCGCCTTTCGGACGCCTTGGACTTCAAGACCCCTCAGCCCAGCCAAATGGGGCACTGGCTGATCAGGGAAAGGGAGCAGTTGGGAAAAGGCTGGCCTAGTGCCTTGAACCTGATCAGGTTTATTCCAACATGAGCCCAAATTGCTTCAGAGTAGAACTTATGCAAAAAGGATTTCAGGCTGCCTACAGGACTTTTTCCAATTGATCCTCTCATCTCCAAAAGAATGCATCTTTACTGGATAGGTAGAGCTGATTTTTGCAAGGGCCTAAGTCAAAGCTAACTCCCGTGCATGAAGAATTGAACTCAGTAGGACTTCTGAGTAAACAGGCACAGGATCAAGCCCAAGGCCCTTTTTCTTCTCTCTCCAACCCAACTTTCCATACAACCTTTAACCTTAGAAGTGGTATTTCCACATGCTCACTCTCTTTACACCAAGGCCTGATCCAACAAGTTAGACCCTGAGTCAGCAGTGGTAGGCTGCAGTACAGGCACCATCTTACCTGGGAGTAAGAATCGTTGTGTTCAGTAGAACAAGGATCATATGCTCCTACTCACACTTGTACCTAAAAGTCAGTCCCAACAAAATAGTGGATCTTGCCTTGGAACAAATGAATGTACTGTTACAAGGTAATTCTATATGAATTTACTCTGGAGTATGTAATAGGACTTAATCCCTAGGTCTGCAACTTGAAGGCAAAGAATCTATGTTTGCTTGGCCAAAATGGAAAAATTCATTTCATCCTGCCATTTTTGTGCAGGTGATTAAGGCTCTCTATAGGCAAAAGAGCTTGGCTCCAAAAATAAGGCTCCAGGTGCCAATAAAATGAAAGAGATTTCCTTTAATTCCAAATTAACAAATTTAAGCATCTGATCCCATGTACGCTTTATGAACACAAGATCCCAATGGAATTTTCTAGCAGGAAAATACGCAAAAAATGTTAGGATAAGAACTAAAGCTTAAAAAAAATGATTTAGGATTTGGGTAATTAGTGCCATCAATACACATTTCCACGGCAAGATCAGGCAAATACTAGAAGTGAAGGTCATCTAACATAGGGTGACTTTCCTCATAATTGGACGGCATAGGATCACGACTGCATTCCCACTGAAGTCATGGTCCTTTTCCAGCTATAATCCAGGGCAAACCATGGAGAATAATTCTTGCTTGTGGGATTGCCTTCATAATCTTTTGTTTTGTTTTAAGTTTTGTGATGCCAAATGAAGTTCCTACACAAGGACTCCTTGGATGGCAATTCTAGAAAAAACTAGTAGGCCTTTGGTAATCCAACTGGCTACACTGGAGAAAATTATGCTTTGGAGTTACCTTTAGCCAAGGAATTCTAGCAGACAAGACTTTTAGCTTGGCCTCTGCAACCTCCACCCAAATTTTGGTAAACTGAGCCCATCCTGCGATTTTCTCGCGAGAGGGAAAGAGGGCAAGAAAGAAACGTGCAATCAAGTGCTCAGCCTATTACAACTGTCCCTTCCTTCACACTATTGGGAATGCGTGTGGGACATCCACGAGGTGCTAGAGGACTTAGAAGAAACATTCCTAATGTCACGCAGCTCTAGGAGAATTTGGGAGAGTGATTTTTCCACGCAGTTCACTTACAGATACTGGCAGACTTCATTGTGAATAAAGCAAGAAGGTGCACAAGAAAATGTGCTTGGATGTGTGTAAATGTTCTGGGAAAAAATTGCAAGAAAAGCTTAGTTTCTTTCAACTAGGTGCTGCTTCCAAGGGGAAACCTTGGGGTAGAAGCCCTGAAATAGCTCAAGTGGAAAAAACGTCTTCCAATAAATATGGATAAAAGTGATCGCCTCTGAACAGCAAAGAATGCAGAATGGGGAGAGGTTGTGCTTGGGAGCTAATAGCTGGATTTTAAACAAAGCTTACTCCCATGCCTGAATTTCTATAGGATTTTCTTCTAAAGCAAAGGACCGAGATCCCGTTAAAATCAAGAACAAGTTTGGAATATGGATGGAAGAAGATGCGGTGGTCAAGGCTGGGACAGACAAGTGGGTGTGGAATGAGAGTGAGTACTTGAGCCAGGGAAACCATTGACATCCATCTGAAAGTACCTCTGGAACCAAGGGTGCAGGGTTGCTCAAGGATTAGTTCCCCTGGTCCTCAATTTCTTTGCCATGGGAAGCAGAGTGGCTAAAGAGGGGTGGTACGGTTTTCAGCTCACTTTCCTTGAAGCAGGAGGTGTCACTCAGCTACTCCCCACCCTCAGTGGCACTGGTTGAGAAAGGGCTAGGCTAGGTTGGTGCCCAGAGGGACTCACCAGGAGAAGACTGAGGCCGCCATCCTAAGCCTCTCTGAAGTTGCAGAGGATTCCTTGTGGCCTCCCTGCCTCTTTTAGAAAGAGCCCCCCCCCTTCCTTATTTCAGAGTGCTCTAGAAATCGAGGGTCCCCATGATCAAGGACCCTGGTTAGGGAAGGAAAAGCCGAGTCCTCGCGAACGCCTGGCCAGGTCCCTTGGCGGAAAGAGCCAATTGTTTTCCGAGGCGCTTGGAATTGCTAAGATTTCCAGGCAGGAGATCCCGGGCGGAGCGCTCTTGGCACTCCCTAGGACAGCCAGTCCCTAGAAGGGCCCTAGGCGGCCTCCTCACAAGGGCCCATCGGCCCCTCAGCCCAGCCCCGCTCCGCCGAGCCCTGCGCTCTTACCTAAGTCTCCGGGCGCGCCAGGCTGCGCAGGACGCTAGTGGGAGGCGGACATGGACCAGGCGCCTTCCATGCGCCAAACGGAGAAGGCGTAGCTGAGGCGCTCGTGGGCCACATAGCTGCAGCTGGCCATCTTGGAGTCGAGTTCGTCGCTCTGCAGAACCTGGTAGAGGAAGTCGATATAGCGGGCGGCCAGCTTGAGCGTCTGGATCTTGCTCAGCTTGTCCGACGGCAGTGTCGGGATGATCTTGCGCAGCGCCGCGAAGGCTTCGTTCGGCGACTGCGTGCGCTGCCGCTCGCGGACGTTGGCCA